TAAGCTTTTGCACCATATCGATTGGTCATAAACGCGTAACATGTCTTGTCAAGTAACTAACTGCCTTTTTGGTCCCCCTAACCCAATTTAGATGAACATCAAGGTGATTGGTCAACTCGAACGTTACTCGTAACTTTTAAATCTCTTGTTTAGTATTCACGAGCTCCGCAAAAAAAGCATTTAAAGACGCTTTTCCTAAAGGTATATATTCAACAATTCGAAGTACTGAAATTCATGGACCTAACCGGTGTTTCATTGCTCTTACAGGTTTGCAATACAAAAAACCAAAGCCTCTGCTTTATGGTGTCGATAAGAACTGGGTATATCAGCCGGGACAAGGCTTACACGAAAAGTTGAGGAATGAACTTAGAATGCATTACGAATATTACCTTGGGGGAATCGTTGATAAAACTTTTATACCAATTTATCTCTTTCTTTCCGGTGCTGGTACCGGAAGGTCACGAAACGCAGAAGAATTTTATAATACGACGCTCGCATGTTTATCAGATTCCAAAGACCTGAAACTAAAAGAAAGCATCAGAAACGCATTGGTATTCAATGTCGGCTTCGAAAACGGTAATAGCTTAAGGAATGGTGTGGAAATAGAAGCATATAGTGCAATTGGAACTAGAATTCTCAAACAACTTCTTCCGGAAAAACATCTTGAATTGATAATTGCAGAATATGAAGCACCATTACCATGGCAAATGTTCGAGTTAGTAGCCAAATACGAAGAGATTGAAATGAATGACGCTACGATTTTTTTAATTGTCGATGGATTACAAAATTTAATGAATTCGATTAATTATTGTAATGATCAATCATCTGATTTTTTCCGGACTCTGACTAATATACACGAACTTGCTTTGAGTGGTGCTTTCGTGATTACACTGTGTACTGCAACGGCAACTAATTCTTTCGAGGTGCTAAAAATTACGCACCGCAGGCGCGTAGAACTACCGATTGCCTCATTGGACCCTCCGACAATTTGCAATAATAATAATGTGACTCCAGTCTTTGAAATGACAGATAATATAACCAAAATTTTAGTGGATGATTGTGGAGGGGAGGGCTCTCGAAGCTTTACAAGAGATCCTGGAAAAACGCGATATTAAAAAAGTTAATGTAAATGATTTAATGAACGATTTACGTAAAAGCCTTCGTGAAAGGTACAGTGAGGCGCTGCAATTTTCTCCAAGTGACTGTAGAGCTATAGGTCGGGCGATGTTAACTCGAGTATTCTTGGAATCTGATAATTTATCCCTGGTACGAGTAAGTACCCTGGAGAAGTGGCTTGGCCAGGGTTGATTAGATACAAACAAATAGGTGAAACTCAATCTGGATACCTGATTGCTCCTTACATCTGGATTTGGATACTAGCGCAATCTTCCGATGGTGAAGATCCAGTGCTTCGAGATTAGTGTATTTGTGATTATGGTGACCATAAGTCAAATTTAAATCCAAAACGTCTACCAGGTGCTCAATTTTGGCAACACTTTGAGCATTTTGTTGCATCTTTCCGGACATTAAAATCTAGAATGGTAAATGACAATGAGGTAACAACAATTGCGAAAATTCACACTGGAGCAAGATTGAATAGTGATTTTCAATTTATAAATCATCATCTTGAATTGGAAATTGCAATTCACCAGGAGGACACAAATTCGGCAAATTATACTGGAATTAAAAAAGAAATTAAATGTGATAATGGTATTGTTGATGTTCGTAAAGGTAAACATTGTATAATCGTATGGTGACGCATTCCTTGGATTAGATTTGAATTTGAACATCCCAAACACAAACTAAGTGCATCAATATAAAAAGTTGAAAAAAATTCTTAACGAGACTAATTTCCAAAAAGAACGGGAAAAATCATCATCACCAATGGATTTTTTCTTATTCTATACTACAACGAAAATAAATTACTTCAGTCTTCCAAAAAACACCGGATATGTAGATAAATCCAATTGGGTTGAATATTTCGGGCCCTATGCTGGCAGAACGTTAACGTATGCTCATGTAGGCTCTTTGGATATAAATAACGCAGATAAAAGGGATCTCGAGCTAGTGGAAGGAGTTGGTCCAGAACGAGCAGATATCATTTACAACAAAAGAAAATTTATAGATATTGATGATGCATATAATAAGACAAAAATACCAAAGAGTGTATTGAAAAGATTCAAATTTTAATTGATATGTTGTTTTATCTAGTTTTATATCGGAAAATAGGAAATAATTTGCTATTGGATTAGATTAGCGAGTGTATTTTTTATCTTTAATAATGAAATAAAAAATATTTACGATAATATATTTTCTAAGGTCCATTTATCTTAAGTTTAATAATTGCATTTGTAATTATTAAATAGAAGAAAATGCAAAAGATTTTTTTGAATGGTCCAGAGAGAAAAAAAAGTTTGTATATGTATTCACAGTATTAGCAGGATCAAATTGAATTGCTAACGATACTCGAATCTAAAGTAGTTATTGGAGGTTTGATATTTTTAATGATACATTTTTTAAAGAAGCATTATAGAGAATATTTTGGGGATCTTGTTTCAATATCTAGACAAAAAAAAAATTAAACAACTTTTAGAATATTTATCAGAAACTTATTTTTCTTGGGATATCCACAAAAGCAACTACGGCATAGTTAAGATATTTTTCTGATACAATGGTAAATTTTCAATTATTATTCAATATTATTGATAGACATTTTTTACTTAAAGAAATTTAAATAATTTATTTATGAAAAAAAGAAGTGAGGGATATTTATTATATGTATAATTAAAAGAAAAAAGCTGACATGTTCGAAACAAAAATAGGGAGAAGATTTTAACCTTTAACATAGAAATACAATAAATTATTGTATTATAAAAATTGATCATTGGGAAGACTTTCTCTTTTCGAAAATAACTCCGCGTAAACTTGGGAATGATAAAGGTCCCAATTTCCATTTTTCTTCAATTTTAC